ACCATTACCGCTCCAATTTTTGGGCTCCATAATGTTGCTTGAAGAGCCGTTCAGCAAATATGGAAAATAGCCTTAAGCTTGGTGTTCATAGTCCAATGCAACCGCGTAGACCTCACTGGAAAGGGTCCGATGTCCCGCAGACCTTCCTGATAATTCTTAACCTCGCTATATTTCGGCCCATACAAAGTAGGCGCATGGGGTGAGTTGAGCTGCTGCTTTTAAGTTCAGAAATGAGGAGAGGATAGTCGCCCCTAGCATGCATTGACGTGAGTAGCTCAAGATTGTTTCAAGTACCTGTGATTAACAGGTTACTGCTTCAACAGATTTCAGTTGTTATTTGAACTCGGGCCGAAGTAGCAACTTGACAAGAGCCAAAACCCTCACAAGGTCGCTGAGTTATCAGCAAAACATTGGATCGGGAGGTCGAGATACGCTCGGACTTATGAAGGAAGCGGTAACGACAGAATTTAGACGGATTGAGTGGAAGTGAGGGTGCTTGAGGGAGCACCGCAGCGTAAAAGCAGAGAAATCCGACAAGAACTGCAAAGTAAGGCGTTCTTGTTTGCGTGTTGACTCGATCATGAGAGAGCAGCGCCCAAGAGAGAAGTCGCTTGTTACTGGATCTGGTAGCTGAGGCTTCCCAACTTTCTTCACGATTTGGGGCGCGGCCGCGGCGAGCGCGGCCGAGTCGATAGTGCCCGCGAACTGTGTGGGTAAATTTGAAAACGCATCCACCACCACAGTTCGCGGGCACTACCGACTCGTCCCGCTTGCCATGGCCGCGTCCCAAACTGTGAAGAAAGTGGAGCCGATAGCCGGCACCACGACTATAAACACCATGCTTTGACTGCTAGAACACTACGGAGCACAGGCGAAGGCAGAGCCCAGAAAGGGTTTGGAACCGCAGTGCGCTGTAACTGCACATTTTTCGCCGCAAACGGCCACACCTCGCTCCTTCGCTCCCTCGCTGTCGCTTCGATACACGTACTTCCTTGTACTGCCGCACATGCACTTTGTCGTAGCTGCTCGCTTTGGAACACCCAGGGCAGGATTTTCGAAGCAAGTCATCAATCGCATACGTTTAATATCTGATATAAGGGAAGCCGCAATCCCCTCCCCCTCTTTCTCTTTATAAACGGGATTTCCAAGGAAACGTGTTGCACAGGAGCCTCGAGGTGCAAACAGTTCTCACGTCCGACCTGGTCATGGATAAGATCGAACGCTTCGGACTAACCCAGCACTCCTGTGACAATATGTTCGCAGGGCTTGAAAACCAAGAAAAGCCAAACACAAACGAATCATTAGCCACAGTCGTGAACATTACCTTTAGATAACTATTGACAACAGTCTAAAGCTAAATCATACCTTCAGCCTTTTCAGGAGATTCAGCTTTACTGCCGGAGTCCACCTCCTCTTTTTCTTCTAAGCCGAGTGGTGAAAGAGTGAGTGGAGCGCTCACCAACGTCCTCAAACCGGAAGCCTGAGTACGGAAAATGAATTAAAAACGTCAAACTGGCATCCGATGGTGCCTTCAAGTTCTGAGCATCGAAAATACAACAAATTATAATTACAGTAAGCATTATTGATGAAAAATAAACAATAAATTCTTGTAGCCTGTACCATGTTGAAGTCTTTCGTGATAAGATGTTGCTGACCAAACTGCACCGATCCGAGATCAGTGAGAAGATGGTGATGGTCATCCCAGCGACCAAAACAGAGATCAACTCCGCCAACAAACGCAATAAGTTGGTCAATGACAACTAGCTTCTCATGATGGGCCCAGAAGAAAGTGCCGGTAGCTGGATAATGATCAGGATGACGCATTACCTGATAAATGCGGCTTTTACGGTAAATCACAGAAGTGCTAAGAAATTATTTTGCGAGGACCAACCTTAATGTTAGGATGGAGAGCTTGCAATGTGCGCTTGCTATACATGCTGTTCAAGCCCAGTGCCATTTCCATCTCTTTGTACATCAGAATGAAAATGTGTACGCCCTGACTCGCTTTCCTCTTGAGAATTTGATCTAGACGCCAGTAGTTTCCTTCCAAGGCTGGCCTCTTCATATAGATCTAAATGAAACTCGCAAAATGACGGGAATAAAACAACCGAAAACATTGAAGTTTCGTTAATCACATTCGAAGGTGAGCTCCGACATAATTTTTGGGGTGTCGTTCGCCAAGACAGAAGGCAAGCATTACGCGAAACATTCATTACTGCGAGAACCCAAAGCTGGCCACTGATCAGAGTGAACCTGGGAGATGGAGCAAACGAAAAATGTTTTGTGCTGCAAAAAGACGGAAAAGCCACTTCCTATCCTAGCAACCCACACCGTAATTTGAGCCCATGTGGATTCTGCATAAACAGCTTATTTTGGCTCTATGAGCGAGTGAAAATAGTTTGAGACCTCGGCAACATATCTTCCTAGAAATACAGGAGATTGAACATATTTCCCTACCTAAATATTGGTTCTAAACGCTCCACACAGGAGCTACAAACATGTAATGCAAAAACGAAATCATCGGATACACTGTGCACCCTAAAGGCAATGTCATTCACAGTAGCCCTGCAGAAAACATAAGGGTGTGATAATTCAATTCCGAACAACTAAATATAATTTATGCAGGAATTGAATTTTTACTAATATAGGCTTAAAATTCAAATTTCATTACTAGCCTAGATTTCATTTGAAATTGGAGGGCGGCAAATGAAGGAGAACAGCTATTTTGACGAACCCCATAGAACTACAGGGGTGGCCAAAAGAAAGAGACACACTGCCCATGGCGCACATCATCAAGTTTTTCATGGCAAAGGGTTTCGCTGTTGATGAAAGTTTAACGGTAGACTATAACTTATATGTTCTCCCATAAGTAGGGACAGTCCCTCTTCCTATCGCCCTCACCGTCTCTAAAATATAATGTGATCTTCCATCACCGTTGAGCTCAAGAAGGCCTACAGTAATCGTTCCAGCCTTAAGCTGCTACGGAATTTCTGTAGTAAGTTGACTGACGGATTGGTTCCTACGAATAATAGCTCTAAATATGCAAAACCTCTTCCGGCCAGCGTTCTAGAAAACGGTGTAAAGGACATGATGCGCCGAGGACCAGGTGAGTGGAACTGCTGCACAGTCACGTATGCGCAAGTTTTCCTAATTATCCTTGGCAGAAAGCTGTTTATTTTAACGTTTATTGATAGACTGGGATGTGCTCAAAATAAGTTGGGGCAGTTAGTTTGAGTTTATCAAAGTGTGGACTGATGCTGTCTGAAATGTGGAGAGGAGAACACGGCCTAGCACAAGAAGCACAAAAAACACTAAACCACGCCGTGTTGTGTGTGTTTTGTGTGGTTGACTTCAAACAAAACACAAACCATACCACAAATCCTAGTGGCTCGGTTTTTTAATCACACCACTAGTATCCTGTAGGATGATGGCTTCAAATCCTCAAATTGAATCTTTATTTATGACTTTACTCTCACGCTTCATTTGAATATCTAGATAGGATTGCTCATTTCAGGGGTCTACTCAACAACCACGAAAGCAAAATATGTCCGTGGTACCCTACGCCAAAAGAACCATTGGAAAGGATAGTAGAAAAGAAAAAACATAGAAACAAAACATCAAAACAGTGATAATTAGAACGCTCACTTCTGGACTCAGCCACCATCCGGCGATGAAAATTTCTTCCCTGGCAAGTTCCATCATGTCGGCAGCATGCGACATGTAGGAGCGAGCATCAACAAACCTAATAGTAGAAACCATGGTAAAGCTAACGTAGTAAAGCTTCACATAAATGAAGAAATAGTAAAACAGTAGAAGCCGAAGGCAAAGGGGGGCAAAGAAATCACATTTCACACTGCCAGACCTTAGAGTTAGAAGGAAATTGTTTAACCCTTTGGCGACAGCGGCACCCACCGGTGAGGTGCACTTAATGAGCGGTCGAGTTGGGACAATGCACAATGTGGAGTGCCACCTAAACGTTTTTCTTCTTTTCGCCAGTGTTAAAACATTTTCAAAATATCAGTAATTATAAGCAAGCTCCGTTACGCCTATGTTTAGCATATTTTGCAGAAATGTTTGTTACTAGCTAATTTATATGAAAGTTTTAGGATATGGCACTTCGCTCGGCGATGTATTAACTAGTGTTTTACATTATTAAGCTTAAGGTGAATTACAGATCAGGACCTCTACGTCTTTTCACAGTCTTAAGACACAAGGAGGAGTTTGAACTATATCAAAATTCTACTGTACATTTGAACTTCTAGAGTTTTCAACACCTTTGAAATCCGAGATTTCTTTCCAAACTTCCACTTCTAATTCCAACAATACATGATCATAAAGCTTAAGACTGCAGTCATATTTTGTTTATTGTCATAGTCAAAATTTTGATAGAAAAACTGCTTTTAGGGACAATTTTGCCCCATTTTGTGCGAGAGTTGGGCGCGCCAAAAAGAGGCGTGGTCCCACGAGCACGCTACGTGCAAATCCGCATTGTCGTCAAAGGGTTAATCAACGTGAACTTAACGCTCCAAACGGGAATCATGAGGCCCACGACACTTAGTTGCTGAGAACACAATAAATGTCTAAATAGTCTCCCGCAACATTAATAGCATATGTACTCCTTCGTTGTAATCATAAGCCTCGCTAGGGGAGCTGGGGTGACTCAAATGCTTAGCAGACACTTCTGAGCTATTGTATGCTTATTACGCTTTGTGATACGGAAGTCAGAAATGCGATATATGCTGTCATTTTTTATGGAAACCAATATCAAATCTTCGATCAAAGATTTCATATTATTTGGATGCCAGAGCTGCACCCCTTTTTCACTATACAGACAGACTCTTCTGTGGTGAAAGATTTCATGAAAACAGCTGCTAACCTCTCACGTGTTTTCCCACAGCAGCTGCTTGTTCACACAACTTCCTAACACAAAAAACAACTACTTACCACTTTCCGTATGATTTTTCTCGAATAGGGAAAGAGGAACTGAATCGGTGTGGCTGAATCCAAATGTTTCCTATTCCATTCATAGCCTCTTCAATGATAGCCTTCCAACGAGCAGTGTCTTCAATGCGCCGGCACTTGAGGTGCAACTCACTGGAAAGGGAGAAAAACCTATGTGATAACTGTGGTGACAATTCGATATGTAGGAGGAATACTGAAAATTTGTCACGAAATTGGTCAGGAAGTCTAATTTGTAAGTTCGCTATATTGTATTTAGTACTTTTTAATAAAAAAAATGACTCGAAAGTAATAGGAAACCACGAAGCACTAGAAACCTATCGAACTCACTGTTGAGTGTTGAAGATTATTAGTCCCGTCGGTATGCCATCAGCCTCTTTTCCACCTGCAGCCACCTACAAAGAGGATAATAAGATTCTTCAAAGTGAAATACTCTGCCCCCACCCTTTTGATTCGTGCAGCAAAATGAATCGCATGAAATTGCGCTAGGTTAGAAAAGAAGCAGTTTTGAGGTCATGTACATTTTGGCATCAGTTCCTAGACAGAACTATCATTTTCATCACTATTAGGCTATATTTTGAACAGGAAAAAACCATCAGAATTCAGTACACGAAAATGATCTCAGAAAACCACGATGGTCGATAGAGCTGGCGTCACTTTCTGCCGTAAATGAGTGGAGTCTGAACATAACAGCATTTAGTAGGAGTGACTTTTAGCTCATAGCTAACACTAAGTCAGTCAGGTAAGGTGTTGAGGAAATATGATAATCAATCAAACCGAAATGAAATAATTGAAAGACTATGCTGTAAGCGACGATATAAAGCGAGACACAGGCCTACCTTAGAGCGTGATAAAACGAAAGATATTTAGGATTTTGCGTTACTTACCAACTAACCTTGAAATCTTTATCCATTAATAAAACCAAGCGGATACGTTCGGTCCTATGATCCATATAAGCCACAAACGAATCTCGAACCATCAGCCAACTTAATGAAAAAATTTCAATCCTCGATGAAAAGCTTTCTATGAACATAAAATACGAATCGAGACTAATTATAAGCACTATTAAGCCAAAAGTTAAAGAGGTGGAAGAATTCACCGTTTGCTCCATGGAAGAAATATCGAACACAGCACTGTTTCCAACCAAGAAACACGCGAGCGCCACCAGGGCGCTTTTTCACAAAACCTTCTGTATGCTTCACCACCCAGTTCGTTCACAAAAGAGAAACGAGAAACCTCGAGAAACTCCGCCTGAATACAGAGTATAATAATTTCAGAAGCACCAGCAGGTTGCCTCGACCAATCACTTACGGTTTCATGGTGATTCCTATTTATCGGGATATGTAGTAGCATTTGGAGCCAGTTCTCTAGTTGATCCTAATACAAGCAAGAATTTATTTAGTTGTGTTTCATTTCACAAGAAGACAATTTAGAGTATATATAAAACACCCAGAAAATGGGAAGCAATTCCGATTCTCAAATACCTTCCTCGTCTCCGTGTTCGAAACCATAGAATCAGGAATGATGGGGAAATGGGGGAGAGTGTGTTTTTTCCTCGATCTTCTCTTCTTGACTCGGTTATCTACAGGTGCGCTACCTTCATCTCGCATAATGCCAGCTGAATAGTCGTATTTAAGATCCTACAAGTGCAGGCGGAGACGAGATATGCGAAGAATTAACATAAGAACTCACACTGAACTGCCTCCTCTATCTTCAACCTAGCTTCCTCCAGTTCAGGAGATAAGCTCTCTGGTGATGTAACAGGAGCAGCTCCTTTGCCGTCGAATGCACCCACATCACGCTTTAACACAGGCAACTAAACAGGGTGATCTAGATAATAAATGCATTGAATTGTCTGTCCTGAAATTTGAAAAAAAAAACTAACATATTCGTTGTAAAAAAAAAGTACGCTATGTAAGACTGATACGGAGCCACTCATAATGTAGTGTCTTCAGGATTCAATGCCAAATGGAAAATTCGATGCAGACGTGGGTAAATTCAAACCTGCGAGTCATGCCGCCTCTTGTGATGACTATGGCGGAAGTATGGGCAATCCTCTTTGTGGTCCGGTATCACGTCGATACCAACCGACTCGAGCATCGCATCGACACGTTCCTGGGCTCTGCAAAGAGCAATACTGCAATCATAAACGAAAATACATTTGCGTTTTATCAATCACTGTTGCTGAAGCCATAGTCATTCGCCACGATACAAGTTTACAGAGAAGCACGAAAGTTTTTCACATGCTTAATGGAAAATATTGTACGACACAAAAACTTACTCCAAAGTTTTACGATTATACAACCTGCAAAATCCGTGCACTTGTAAAGAAACGAGAGCATGCTATTAGTCGCAACAAAACTTCAATAAAAAATTAACAAACTGTACGGAAAGGCAAAATAAAGCGAAAAAAGCAACTCAATCATACAAGACGCCTATTGTATTTGACCGCAGTAGGATGACTTCAAATCAACAGCTTCAATTTGAAAAAAAGCAGGTGACAGACATTGCGACCAATCCTTGGGCAATTCGAACTATTTAGTGATCCATAGCCCAACAAAGCCGATGAGTGTCCCCGAGGAACCAGCTAGAGTCCGACGCGCCCGAGGAGTTGTCCCCAAGAAACTTGAGCGCATAACCCTATTAGAGCACCAACACAGACTGACTCCTCGTGAAAATCCACCCTTCCCGAGACATCGGATATTATGATCCGTCCAAATCATTGGCGATTGCGCGATTCGCTAGCTATTAATCGCAATCTTCCACCGGTCTATTTATACTCTTCTAGTAAAGACTGTGGTAGTTGGCTTTGTTAGATTTCCATCCCATATACTTCTGCTGGCTTGAACAAGTATAGGCAGTTCTACCATAACAGCCCTCTTCGCTTTCTGCCGACTGGCCATTTACCTCTCAGGTCCACTCCTGGCTCATCAAAGCGCACTCTATCCCCATTCGTTGTCGTTTCTTTACGGATCCCAACAACTGCTTCGCTCACATCCTCATGTTCCACTTATGCGGGGCCATCCGTCGCATAAATAATGTAAGCGCGAGAGTCAACAGAAGTTTGGAGTAACATGGAGGTACGCAATGCTGGAAAACTATGATGCCATTTCTAGGTGTAAATATGTGATTTGACAATGTCACTAATCCAAGTGTTACAGAAAAGTGATAAAAGCAAAAAATACCGACCTCCGCACAGGAGCAAGAATTTGCTGTGCAGCTCTATGTGCCTTTAATCTACTATTCAGTGCAGTGAAATCTTTGTAGTTTCGGACGACGCTCCATTTGAACTGCCCATGTTCCAATTGAATTGTGTACCTGCAAGAAATGATTGCAGATTTACTTCATCAAACCAAAACATGCATGCTTTGCAGACATGTGTAACATCAAATAAATATGAAACTAGACCTAATGGTCGAAATGCACTTATATTTTAACACCTAGAGGTGGAGTCGATATAAGCTTCTGCCCCTTTTCTAATCATCACTGTTTCAGACAATTTCAAATCGCATTCAAACCGACGCAAATACAGATTTTGTCAGCTGTATGATGAATATATTCGGTATTCTGATATTGTTGGAATTCATACTTAGAATGTGACCGAAAGAAAAAGATCAGCTTGCCTTGAGACGCTAGCAAGGCTTTGCTGGGTATGGTTATCCAGGCAAATCCAGAACTAGGTAAAACATGCGTTGTAAGACAAAGGCACCATTCAGGAAAATCAGAAATAGTGGAAGAATTTTTTCCGTCGGAAAGTTGGAAACCCTGCTCTTCACATATGAACAACGGTGAACAGAAGGACTAATTCCTACGCCGCTTGAATTTGCAAAACTTCAGGGAAGGTTACTAAATTAGAAAGGCTAAAAAACTGTAGAGTCGAAACAAAACTTGAGTTGACTATTCCACTTACAATAACGTATTAATGAGGTGAATCCGCCTGTCCGTGTTTCTTTCGACTTTAACTATTTTTGCATTGACCGGAACTCCAGGTATCCAATATCCTCGTCTGCGTGCCTGCGCTTGCGAATCGAAGACTGCTTCATATGGAATAATCCCTAAACAGCTACATTTGTGCTCTGTGGCTTTTCATATTGAAAAAGAGCAGAAAATAGAGTAAAACAAGTTGCTGAACAATGGTTCGATGAAAACCTTTTCTAAATGTTGCAACAGAATGAACAATCCTGGCCTTATGACTTTGATAGCGACCACGAACGTTTCGATAACGGACGTGATCAAACAGCCTCTGCGAGATAGACCGCACATGGAGTTACTGCCAAGACTTAGCCTCAACACAAGTGACATTTAGGAACGAGAAAAGAACCTAAAAATGCGTTCAGGAGCTTCACCACTTCTAGAAAAGACAGTGGTTACTTCAGAACTTGTTCACTCAGTGGTATGTCTCGGATAGAAATGGCGTTCAAACTTGATGGACGGAACAATATTGAAATACTAGTAATTGAAATCAGTTTCTCGCTACGCCTGTGGTGGGTATGACAAGCGTGTGATGATGATGACCTACCCCATCGGAAGAACATGGGTGGCAGGGGTACTCTCAATATAGTTTTAACAAGTTTCTACGACCTCATCCATGACGCCTAACAATGAGACCATCATTGTCAAACGGGGGAAGTATTGCCTCTGAATCTCATGCATGATTCCTGTAGACTTTGGAGTATAAGATATTACATGTGTATAATCAATAAAGAAAATAAATCACCCTAGAAGACAAAATGCCAAGATTCAGCTATATGTAAGCGAAAAAATGTAGCGAGAGAGAAAATAACAAAAACGCAAACAATAAATTATGCAATTATTGACTTTTGTCGAAATATTTGAACAGCCTGCTGAATACTTCACAGATTTCTCAAACAGGCAATGAATGCAAATAAAGCCTACATGGAAGCCTTTGCACTAAACTCATCCGATGCCATTTTTTCGCTCAGAAAAGAAGCGCTTCATAAGCTCCACCCTTTATCCCGTATCTGGTATTCCAAGATTGCTCCAAAATTAAAGTTGCGAATAATAATGCCGTTTCACGTTTTCAGCTAATGTTCTAATTAAGTTTCGCTCTCAACAGCTACACGCCTCTGACGCAATGCATACTCTTTTGTGGCTTCTCCCAGTATCCCACTGAGCATACTTACAGAGGAATACATGGAAATGTTGCGTTTGCCCTATCCACTCCTTTATATGTAGTAGGACGCACCCAGTGAGATGTAATGTTATTAGCTATCGATGATCATGTTTTGCACTGTGTCATAGTTTCCAGCCGATTTGAAGAAAGGCTTATGCTCAAAGGCTATCAACGAAGTTCTAAAAGAGAAGCCTCTTTCCTACCCAAGAATGAGAAATGGAATGATGATGCTTCAATACATTGCCTCAAGTCCAATAAGGATGGGACAGATCCGAGAGCTTTTATACTACTGAACAACTTCAAGAATGATAGGCTGATGCTAATAAGCGAACTTGGAGTGTATGCAGAACTGGAAGCATCACCAATAATACTTCAAGATTTTGTCCCACACAGAGAAGAAGAAGAAAGTAGAGCAAAAGGAGAGGGAATTGTATTTCATACCTTTCTTCCCGGGCATTCCTGGCAGAGACTGGGCAATGACTGAGGCAATACAGTCACAGTATTGGATCTCGTCATCCGTCGAATAGTCGCTTTCCTACAACAGCGAAGAAAATCTTGGACAAACGCAATCTTGGTAATAAAGAAGCGCCGCCTATAGAACAGCGAGATAAGTAAAAACACAAGCGCGATAAGTAAAAACATGAGAAGTCAAAGGAAAAACCCACATCCTCATCGGACATTCCTGCTTGATCATACCTACCGCTGTCCGGCACAGTTCCCTTACCGTTCATCTATAAATGACACAATAAATCAAGTGCAGCTCAAAGAAGAAATAACTATGTAGAAATCAAAGGTAAAACTTGACCAAATCACTAATCGTTCACAAATAAGTGAACATGAACTCCAAAGGGGAGTATCTGCAAATATTGAACACTGGCAAGAGGAAGGCATGACGTTCAGAAATAAATTTTGTCTCGCAATCGTTAATGTTTTTGACGTCCTCGATGTAGAACAGTAAATCGAGAAAACCAGCACTTAATGGCAGTCTCAGCCATGACTCAGCACGTCATTTGCGTCTGCGTAACTAGTTCTTCCAACCCGGCATGAAATGGGCTTAGGAAATGAAAAATGGGTCAAAATAACAATGGTAACTTTATATAATCTAAAAACAACAGTATAACTGTTGGGAGATCGAGCCAAATTTTTTTTGCACCACCTTTTTTTGCTTTTTATTGAACAGTTGTCAAACCGGCTGTGAGAATTACTCGTGCCATCTCAACAAACGAACAGAAAATGCAAATTTGGTGTTTCGAAGTACAAGCCCAACCAGTCTAGAAACACTAAGTCTAGAAACTAAGAAGTTCCATCACTCATTTCACGCTCCATATGATATTTATGGTAATAATTTTAAGGAAGTTGATCTCCTAATGAATGTCCATGTTAAATATTAAGAATTCCTTTGTCCTCAAAGACAACAGACCGAAATAGACTCAAGTGTAGTTGGCAGAGTAAGGGAGAGGGGGAGAGGCGAGAAGGGGGAGAGCGAGGGAATTATCGTGACCCCAAAACCGGGACTGACATTCGCATTTCCATACAGTTATCTTCTAACATTAGCGAAATGGTTTCACGCACCCCTGGGCTTGAGCTTCCTTCGCTTGCGAAAAAACTGGACAGCTGTCGCCGGGACGAACTACTGCGACCCTTTCCCTTCCCCACCCCTAAACTACACTTGAGTCCGAAAACGGCATACTTTGGAATGAAAATTTCTCACTTGTCGAGCTACTACTTCTTATGCTATGAAGCTCTGCGAAGATGGTCGTAGCTTGATATTCTGAAGGTCCAGCGGCTCAAATGCGGGATACAGCCATGTCCAGAGTCTGAAATTTGATGTTCGGATCACAAAGACAAGACTAATAAATCGAAACCACAATCAGCAAAACGAGCAACGAGCAGAGAACGATGGCCGACTTCACGGTCACTGCCCCTCCGTCTCTCGCTCCGTGCACTCTCTGCGTCTGTCCTCTGCCCTTCCGCTTCCGCTTTGGAATCGAGCCACACATTACAAGTGGAACGTCGTGTATATGCAACAGTCAGGGTATTATTTTGCAGTTGTAGTTGCTCTCCAGGGTCATCCAGTAAGGGGGCATAGCGATCTAGAGCATTTCAAACCATGGAAAGCACATTATTTTATTGTAGACGTTCAGGACTAAGCCCTAGAAGGGAAGGAGTCCCCGGATCCGTGAGCAATCTTGGCTTTCCCCGGGGGGACTTCCTCCCCCTCCTAGGCTTAGTCCTGACCTGCTGCTACTGTACTTTTTGTAGGCGCTAATGTCATATAGGGCTTTCCGAGTATGGGGGCATCAAGCTGCGCTTGCCTCCCCCCCACCCGCTAGACTGCCTTCACACCCTCGGCGCCCAACAGCCGCTCTTGGAAGTTAGCGCGCCCGATGAGCAGGGGGATGTAGGCCAGTTAGGGCAGGGGGTGGGGGTGAGGGCAGCCACTTGACGTTGCATCACAATGCCCCCCCCCCCTTACTGGATGAGACCCTCTTCTAGTACAAGAATACATACATTACACAAGAGCACCTGAAAAAAAAATAACATAGGAAAAAAGCTGATAGCAGCTCGTAACTTTAAAGGACTCCTTGAGCCAAATTGGCATTAGAGCAGACCGTGCACCGCAATGCCCCCTTCTTACCGGATGAGACCCGCTCTCCATTTGACTTTGGTGCCATCTAGAAATCTCGATGGTTTTCCCTGTGCTATGTGGTCTGGGGAAAGTGCTAGCAAAACAAACATCAAGTGAAACATCCATATTAGGTGGCGCTTATATTGTTTCAAGAAGATTTACCCTATTACTCATCGCGAAACTGACGAGTCGCGTCCAGCGAGCTTTTCTGAAGTGTCACGGCATGCACTCTGCTTTGGGCTAAGAAATTCGCAGAGTCAACGGAAAAAGGTACACAAAGTTCTTTGAATACTTACGGGAGAGGTTTCTAGCCTAAGAAACGCTGCTAGGCAGCGAATTCTCTTAGTTTTCCATGTAAGCTCAAATGGGCACCTAGAAACATCGACAGAGTTTGCAACGCCGATTATTAATATGGGGATCGCCCGATCTGATCGTGAAGTCGATAGGTACGACTGGTCCTTCGTGTGCGTACGCTCCCGACCAGGGTCAACCCTATGTTGTTACTAGTAACAACGGGGGGGGGGTCGTACTTGGTTGAGTTTGTAGGAGGGGGAGGGGGGTCGTACCCGTTTCAGTCGCTTGAAATCACAATGTGAGTTTGAGGTGAAACTGTGGATGAAACTGTGAACCCCCCCCCCTCTCGTTGAAGCGCAAGTGCATTCCTGCTAGAGGGGAAATCTCGGAGTATCGACTAGTGCTCACTTCATCTTGAGACGCCCCATTTCTTCACTTATAAGGTCCTTAACTAGATAGGTGACAAAATTTTACGAATGCGAGCGTGTGTGCTCGGCGGCGTTAAACAAATGACTGAATGACACCGCACCACCCGACGCTGACACAGCCTGCAAAGACGTATTACGGAGCGCCCAAACACCGCGGCCGGCTTTCAGCGCTGTTTCAGGACAGAGATGGGATTTTCAAAGTAAGAAACGCCCTGCAGGTGTTGAACGATGACCTCGTGAAAAAAGGCGAGATAGAATTCAAGGTTTTGGCCAAACTGCCGCAGAGTAATTAAGTGTGACGACTCAAAGTAAGAATTCTATGTTGCAATACCAGGCATATTTGCATATAACTTGCATGGGAGAGGGGGGGTCCCTGGCAGGAGGCCCGATTGCAGCGGGAGAGGCATAGTCGTAGACGGATCTGGATTACGAGTGCAGCATACTGTAGCGATTCAGCTTCAAGTTGAATAAAATGTAATATTACATATCGCACAATACACGCGGCGATCGTCCGCACCCGTCTGCGTCTCTACCTTCTCGCTGCGCGACGGGCCTCTGTCGGGGTATGTACGTATGAGGGTAAGCTTCCATGTGTAATGATTGGTCAGTTCATGATAGCTAAAAACCTAATATTAATACTGTATGAATACCTATTACTAACGCCTTTTCTCCTATGCGTTCAAATTTGGTGGCCATTTTACAAGTACCGTGCAGTGAAGTATCGTTTCACTTTTCATAAACGTGACCTCCCTCAAACTTCAAGCTGAGGAAAACACCATCACTCAACTATAAGGAAGCAAGTCTTCAGCTTGTTTAGGGTTGGTTCTATTACTAATTTAGAAATTTTATTTCGGTCCAATACGAATAGTATTTTCAAAAAAAAATTCAATTCAAAATTCATATCTATTAAGATCAAAAATGTTAACAAAACGGCTTGACACCGGCGAAGCACGGAATTGGGTTTTTTCTTGGTAGAGGTTCCCCTACGCGATCTTCAGTGGGACGGACTTTTCGAACTCGTTGTGAGCTTTTGGGCCTTCAGCTTGACTCCGAAAATCATCCTACAGATTTTTGCTCTGATTCAAGTATGGGGACTGCGATGGCATGGCAGTGGAGGAACATTGTTGTTGCGGAACCATTGCGAGAGCGGCTTTGATTTTGCGCTTGGGGTCGGAAAATGAAACACTACGGGCGACACTGCGAGCATGCGGCCAGATAGCAGTCATCCATATGTTGAGGCGCGTTTTGGAATCCATTTCAGCCTCGGTCCGATGAAGGTGATCAACCCCTATGCCACAGAAGCTGCCATGCAGTATCACCGCACCCCCTGCATTCGTCACGTCAGCACATGGAACCTCGGATGATATCTGGTACCAACGGGAAGTCGCAAAAACTTGACTTCTTTCGTGCTAAACAGCAAAAACTTCGATTCGTTGCTCTAGATGGCTTTTTGTCACTCCTTAATAGTCCGTTTCTTGTGGGCATGAGCCTAATTGAGATGCGCTCTGCCACTCTTGAGGGGGAATCAGCGGTTTCTTACTGAGCTACGTCAGAAGTGCCCAGCATCTCTCAGACAACGTCGCACGTTGTCTTCGGACGGATTTAGACCGTCTGGCGTTGAGAATCCGCGGTGAATTTCGGTGCAGAACGCGTGATGCGAGCCACTCCTTACAAGTCGCACAATGATTCTATTGGCGAGAGAAGAGGTCATTTTTGCTACTTCTGGGCGCTTTTTGACTTTGGCAGGTTCAATGCTCTTGAATTTCTTCCAAGTCGTCCACTGGGGCTCCTTGAACTTCAAAAATCTGCTGGGATGTTAAGCCTTCGTAGAACCTCCGAAAGATGGCGTCACCTGGTCCTGCCACAAGCTATGAATTCCCTAATGTCTTGGAATGTTCTGAGTACTGTGTAGGCATATGAAACTGACACAAAACATCAAAAACACACGTGCTCTCAACATGGAAACTCATCGTTTATCAACAATGAAATTGGGTGCCCGCGGACAATACTCGAAAATGAAGCTCCATTTCCCCTTGAAAGGAGGCTATCGCACCGATACGCTGCTATAATATGACTACCTGTGTGTGTCAACTGCTGTCGAAGTTTTACTGCGAGCTTGAGTTTTGAGGAAATTACGTTTAAAAAAGTGAAAACGAATACGAATGCCGGTGAACTGTAGGTCATCTTTAAGTTAAAGTCCATAATTGAAGGGTCAGACTACTCCTAATATGCGACAATTTAATCCCAATACAGATTGAAGTTGTAATATGAACCTCCCAAACAATTTAAAGCAGTCAAATTGGCCTTGCGATGCAGCGTTGAGATATGGGTGAGCTGTCCTTTAGGTTTTCAATAGGCAGTGATGGAGCTTTCTCTACGA